AACAACAATCCAGCTTAATGTTCATCCTCATCTAAATGAAATTATTTTTTGTAAACAACCATTTTTTTGATTATTATTTTCCTTAATAGATAGGATACCATCTTTCTGAATATAACGAAAAACTCTTCTTAGTAACTCAACCCTGAAATCAAAGTAAGTCGGAATTTAAATATGGAAGTTCAATAATATTTATGAAAGCTATAAAAATAACCTATTTTAAATAAAATTACCAAATTTTGCGTTACACGCTAAGGAAAATCACGAAAATGTTTTTCAGATTGCTTTCATCGGTAATAGGATTATAGCTAAATGTTTATTATCTAAAAGAAATTACTTTTTAATAATCAATCATTTTTTTGTTATCCTTGATAGACGGCTTATCATTGTGAATATGACGAAATGCCCTTATTATTTTTAATTCAACCCAGAAATCAAAGTAATTAACAATTTAAGTATCAGAATACAATCATATTCATGAAAGTTNCTGACACCAAAGAGAACAAAAACAACTGATATTTAACATTAGAAAATGGAATGGTTACCCCTCCCAGCAGCTGTCTTATGGGGATTTTGCATATGCTGCCCTTTATTGCATATTTACAGAACTATATTAATTGTCCACGGAGGGAGATTTCATTTTTGATGGACAAAGTTTACTAGTCATTTATTTTGCAAAAATAATTTTTTTTTAAAAAGATATTAAATAAAATGTTACTATAAGCATTTAACTAGGTAAAACTACAAAAATCACTAAAATAACATTTAAATTGTTTAACAACCATTAAAAATTACTTTGTGCCACAGACGTAGGGACGTCCACAGAGAGGATTTTGAAGTCATGTTTATTAAAATATAAGAATGAAATATTAAATACATGTAGCAGAAATGCATATGATTTGTTAGTTAAGAACTTCACGAAAAATGATGAAGAAAAATATTAAGAAATCTGCTGTATTTTCTAATATTATTACTCAGGGACTTAAAAAATCACCTTTTTGTGAGAATGACAGAAATGTTTCTTTTTTTTTCTTCTTCCTTTTTTAAGAAAACAATCGTATTTTGCATTACGTGCAAAGGGAAACCACGAAAATATCTTTCATATTGCTTGACGTTTAAAGAATTACAGCTAAATGCTCAGTAATCGCAATGCATTTCTTTCAAAAAAAATTTTTTTATAATGAATCACTTTTTTTAGCATCTCATCTTTGTGAATATAACGAGATGCTCTTTATATTTTTGTAATTTTTAACTCAATTCAAAAATCAAAGTAACTCGCTACGTAAGTATTGGAGAAAAACCATAATTATGAAAGTTATAAAAATAATTCATTTTAATCAAGATTAAATTAAAATTATCAAATTTCGCGTAACACGCTTAAAAGAAACCATGGAAATGTTTTTCCATGAAATGATTGCTTTTGATGGTATATTAAATTAAATAACTTGCTATTTAAGTATCGGAGTACAATCATGTTTATGAAAGTTAAAAAAAATAATTTATTTCAATTAAGATTAAATTAAAATAATCAAATTTTGTGTTACACGCAAAGGAAAACAAGTGCGACGTAAATGAACAACAACAATCGAGCTAAATGTTCATCCTCATCTTAATGAAATTATTTTTTGTAAACAACCATTCTTTTTTATTATTATTTTCCTTAATAGATAGGATACCATCTTTCTGAATATTCACCTTATCTGTAGGCGGGGCTTATTTTCGCTTGCAGGCGTAATGGACCGCACAAACTTCCGGAGCAACCGGAACTTATTTCTTTTCTAATGTTTTTACTTAGGCTGATTCAATCATCGTTGATTAATATGAAAAATTCATTTTTAGGAAAAATACATAGAAGTTAAATAAAGGGTCTTTGAATACATAAAAGTTAAGAAAGAAAGAAAGGTTCTTTGAATACATAAAAGTTTTAAAAAAATAAAGGTTCTTTGAAGTGTTTTTGTTTTTAAAATCTCTAAATAACTCAATATAAAGATCTATACGCAAATATTACCTGGAATTAATACAGAATAAAGCTCTACACTATTTTTTTTTATTTTTAACATGGGCTATATATTTGTTTCTACTCAGTGATGAAGCAAAGGGCCCATGCTATCCCTCTCCTGAAATTTTGAGTTTAAAAAAAAATATATGATCTGAACAAAATGTCTCGTCTGTATATATTTCTTAAAATTTTTCCGAAAATAATTTTTTATCTAATATATACAGTATTCTTATTCCTTAAATTTCAAGATTTCATCAAGCGTAATTTAAAATAAAATTGGTATGTTCCCATTATGTAATGCAACATTTAAGGTAATATCTGAATAGAGAAACATGACTTTTAACACTAAATAATTCAGATTCGTGTGTGCTATATTTAACATATAAAAAACCAGAGGAGGCATTTTATGTGGCACACAAACTTAATTTAAATTGAAAAAAAAATAATTTTCAAAAAAAATTTTTAAATATAAAAGAATTAGTAAAAATTAAAACAATACAGAAATCACATTAGTGTTTGTATCCTTGTAAGTTTTCTCCTTATTATTTGTAATTGTAAAATTATTTCATTTAAAAAAAAATAATTAAATGTAATTTTCTGTTTATTATTTTCTTGCTTATTTAAATACATAAAAATTATGAGCAGAGAATTGTGATTGGTTAAATGTTAGCCATTGTTTAAATTTCACTAGAAACAATTCAAGATTTTAAAGATAACATCTTTGATATTTACTAACATATAGCTTTATTTGATCTAGAAAAAAAAGTTACTGCACGTGTAATAATTCAATGAACAACATTAATACGGTAGCACTTATTGACTTGACATAAAATTTATATTAATAATTGCCATGTTCAGGATTTTTTACACTAAAAGTGGTGCACAAGATGCTTCAGTTTTGACCACCCCTGCTTTAAACAATTAAACTCCCTAAAGAAAAATAAAATAAATGCATTTTAAGAAAATTTGATGAAGTAACATACCTCTTGTTTTTTTCTTTTTTTGTTGTTTTTGTTTTGTTAGAACGCGGGAATTGAGGATATTGCTTTTATTTAAGAAAGAAAAAAAATATTTCCATTATGAAGCGTAATTTTTTGAAGAAAATAAAATTTCTGTTACAAACTGACAATTAAGCCACTTCTTGTACTTCTTTTAATGTCATATCTAAAAGTTACAAGTTTTAAGCTGTGCATGTTTTTAGAATGCCATGAATAATTATAGTATATCTGCTAGGTAAATATATCTTAACTTAATATTTAGCTGCTAGAGAGCAGTGTCTTTTAAAAACTTAATTGTATTTCATATTTTAAGCATTAGAATAACTCTCCAGAAAAAGGATCAGACAACTGAATATTATTTTTTCTATAATATATATTTTATATTATTTTTAATGACAATTTTTTCTTGCCATCATCATTCAACTTGTGATAATAGAAAAAGCTTATTTCGATTTAATGAAACAGATTTTTAACTCTCCAAACAACAATCGTTATCAAGATAAGAGAAACACCAACGATGTTTGGAAATCTAATGCAAAACATAATAATAAGAAGGTTATAGCGATGTAGCGGAAGTTCGTTCGGACCGGGTGAAGTTACTTCCTCTTAACTAGCTGTTTGTTTGTTTATTTAGTAAACGAGGTGAATAACGAAAAGCTCTTCTTAGTAACTCAACCCTGAAATCAAAGTAAGTCGTAATTTAAATATGGAAGAACAATTATATTTATGAAAGCTATAAAAATAACCTATTTTAAATAACATTACCAAACCTTGCGTTACACGCTAAGGTAAACCACGAAAATGTTTTTAGATTGCTTTCATCGGTAATAGGATTATAGCTAAAAGTTTATTATCTAAAAGAAATTACTTTTTAATAATTTTATTATCCTTGATAGACGGCTTAGCATTGTGAATATAACGAAACGCCCTTATTATTTTTAATTCAATCCAGAAATCACAGTAATTAACAATTTAAGTATCAGAGTACAATCATATTCATGAAAGTTATAAGGATAGCTTATTTTAATGAAGATTAAATTAAAATAATCAATTTTACGTTAGATGCGAAGGAAAACCACGAAAAAGTTACTTGTAATTACGAAAAAGTTACGAGGTTACTTGTAACTTTAATACAGGAATGAAATTATATTTTGAAAGAATTTTAGAGTGAAAATAAATAGAACTTACATCATCCACAAATGAAAACCATGAACACGTTTTAATAACAAACTAATTGAAAGCTAGCAGACAATTATGAGACTCTATCTCAGCAATTATGAACATTTTCCAGTTTATTGTTCTTCATGAAATTTATTGTTTTGGCCAGCTTAGATTGCCTCCAAAAATTTTCTTTATTTTATTTTATTTTTTAAAGTTATTTTTAAACTTTTTTATTTATTTTTTATAAGCACTTAAATTTTTTTTCCTTCTATTTCTAGCATTTGAATTTCAGGACGGTATACAAATCAATTTTTAAGAATGTATTAGTTTTTTCTTTTTGAATTTTAAGATTTACAAATTCTTCAAAAAATTGAGAAAAAAAATGTGTTATAAAATTTGCGAAATTCAGATTTTTTTGGCACAGAGACAAAATGTTATTATTAATCATTACAATTTACATAAATCAAATAAAAAAATAAAGTAGAGACCAGTGATGTCAAAGTTCACCGCGATGTCCGTTTGGTATAGTGATTGATCTTTCTGCCTTTATGTCTTTGTCAGAGTACACACAAACAAATGAGGGGATACTAGCATCTATATTCTTCGTCTACGAAGTACTTCGATTGGTTTGAATAAATTATCAAACCGAGCATGCGTATTAGTAAAATTGCGCCAGACAAAAACGTTAAAACTGCCATTCTAGTAAACCTGAAAAACAAGATAAAAAGCAATGGTGTTATCGACCAATCAAATGCCTCTATTTATTAGAAAGTCGGGCAGCCAAGCAACAGCCAAAACACTTACCCACCTACACCACCTGTAGCTGCGCTACTACTTTCACAAAGCGTTGAAAGTTCAAAGCTTATTTTAAAACGCACAAACATAGGCAGCAGCAAGCTTACTTAGCAAAACAAAAAATCGGATCTTTTTCTGATTCACGGTTTTTGTTATTATTTAGTCTTTCTGAAATAAATCGGAAACATTAACTTTTCTAATAAATATAGTTCAGAATTACGATGAGTGCACCTACTTTTAATGATGCAACTGATGAAGAACAGGTTTGGGTTTAATTTTTTATGTATTTTGTGATCAGCATGTGGGTATGGAACAGGTTTTCTCATATATCTTTTAATTATGGTATCCGAGTGATTTTTATTGATGCACTGTATATTATTAATCAGATTTCGTATTAAAATCGAAGAAATGGGAATTGTTTGTAACAATTGTTACGAACCTTACTATTATTATTATTTTTTTTTTATAGAAAATGATATAGAGTAACACGTCAAACTGCAACTCGTAGCTTTTGAGTGGAAGCTTTTGAGAAGTTCTAATAGAACTATCGATTTTTACTAAATTTTGCGTTAATTAATTAAAATTAAGTGCTGAAGCATTAAAATTAAATTTTTTTGAAAAAACTTCGTTTTAAAACAATTGTTGTGATGAATCTATCTTCAAAACAAAATATTGGTGTAGAATTACTTGGGGATATTTTCATATTGGTGCTAGTCAGTTTCCTTAGTTTATGTCAGCAGTAAAAAAATTTGTAATTTGAAAAATTTTTCTTTTCTAAACAATTAGTTTTATAATCATGCAATTAATGATTAGTTGCTTGCATGTAGTATATGGGTTATTCCCTGCCAATTAGCCATTTTCAGGTAGTGACAACACAAAAAAAATTGGCAGAAATTTCTAATTTTCTGTAATAAGCTACATGATATGGTACTAAACAAAAAAAATAGCTGCCTTGATTAATATGGAAAAAATGCTAAAATTTTTATTTATTATAGTGAGTTTATGATGAAATGGCAAAGGAATAATAATTTTACTTACAAAAATTTTTAAAATAATATTTTTAATGAACATATTTAAGTACATCTGTAGTCCTTAATTGCTTTTTTAATCATATATTTTCCGTTACTGCCAAGTATTAACTATAAAATATATATCTATTATTTAGTTGTATCAGATATAAGTAGTAAACATGCAAATAAATTATAGGCTGTTAGTTTTTGTCTAGTTTTCATTATTTTACTCTTATTTTTTACCACTAAAAACCTTCTTTTTATCATGTTATGGTAAATCTGGTTAGTAAAATCTAACCTTAACCATATAATTCCAGATGTTAAATTGCATGTTCCAGCTATTGAGAAAGGGCTTGATTCTAAAAACATCAATTTTAGAAAACAACTCTAAGCCGGGGGCGTAGCATTTATAAAAAAAGTGCTTAAAGGTGCTTTTTTTATTTGGAGTTTGTAAAAAGGACTTAATTTTCTATCTTTTAAAAAGAGATTTTTCTTTGGCGTGTAAAAAAGATTTTTTCTTTGGCGTCATTCTAAATTACAAAAACTGCATGATTTTTACAATTTTCTCTGCAATATTAATCAGAAACTAGTTATTTTATCAAGATAATGTAACGTTTTTAAAAATGTTTCTAAGTTTTATTGATTTTATGCTTATAAATTATGAACTTTAAATGATGGGGGAAAAAAAATAACTTTTATTGTTGCTCAGATCCTAATTATGATTTTTTTTCTTGGAGAGTGATTAAAAATATTTTTTAAATGCTTAAAAAGTACTTAAAAGGTGCTTATTTTTAGTTGAAAAATATGACTACGCATCCTGTCTAAGAGTAGAAAAGTAAAACTGAATTAAAAAATTAAGTCACTTTTTCTGCCCATTATTGAGATTTATCATTTTATTCTTTAGTATCAAGATCTTCGCAGCTATTTGAAAAGTCTTGGAGGCAGTATTTCAGAGGAGAATTCAGATGAAGGATTTCTGGCTGATTTGGAAGATGTGATTGGCTGTTGCGAATTATGCCTTCATGAAGCAAATGAAGCTGGTAGAGTAGCTGTTTTATTTTTCTGGAAGTGCCAGAGGTTCACTAACACATTTAAATAAGGAAGACATGGACAGTCAAAATAACCGATAAAACTTCGAGAGCTCTTCACTCTTTAAAAACATAAAGCCATCTTCATGTTCAAGGCTATTGCCTACACATATAAGCGTAACTCAGAGTAAAAAGTAAAGCCACTGTCCACACATGGTTATATTTTTCTGAAATTACAAATGATTGTATGATAGTGTTTTCTTTAAAGAATTAGTTTAAATAGGTTCAAATTAAATTTTAACTTAAAATATACTCTTAAAAATATTTTTTCTCATTGAAGTGAAAAGATTTCATTTATAATTATCCTTACGATTGCATCTTATTATTTTTACTTTCTACAAACTATTATTTTCTTCTTTTTATAAGGTTTTATGGTGCGTTAACATTAATTTTGGTCTCTTCTGTTTTGAAAAATAATAATTTTTTTATGGATAGTATATTTGTTTTTAAAGCGCTACGAATCTTTAAAAAAAAAGAGAAAGAAATCACGAACGTGGTATAAGTTTTAAAAAATATTGTAATGTAAAAATAAACGATTGGTATTAATTTCTTTGAACTCACTAATTCTATCAAATTATTTCAACGATTAACCACTGCATGTTATGAAAAATAATGTGGAAAGAAGTAAATGAAAGTTTTTAAAAACTGGAATTTAAACCATTACATTAATGAATAAAAATTTTCACATCGCTTATTTGAAAGTTTTTAAATTTTAATTCAAAAATTAATTTAGTTTGCATAGAATGCCAGATTTTCTGGATTTTCGGATTTTTCTCTTACCGCGAACCGGAAATCCAAGGTCTAGAACAGGGGTGGCTAACCTTTATACACCAACGTTCCATTTTTTCTAAAAAATTGTTTAATGAGGTCATAGACGTGCTGTCAAATAATTTTGTGATTATTGGGGAAATAATAATGATTATCGTTATTATTGGGAAAATAATACTAAATACTATCAACTCGAAACTCTTTACTTACATTGAAAAAAAATTTTTTTTGCCATATCTTACAACAATTTAAAGTAACATCAGTGTGACTTCTGTTGCTGCAGATTCGATGACAAGTAACTTATATTAGTTGTAAGATGTTAGTTTAAGCAGGACTGTTAATTTTTTTTTGTTGCTAGTTATTTATTGTTAGCTTGCTTTTTATGGTTATTAATTGTTTTTTTAGCATTAATTGTTAATTTTTTTATTAATAATTGTCTATTATTTTGTTTGCTTTTTGTGAATTTTAATTTAATTTACACACAATCACGTTTACATATAAAAAATTCTTGTATATTTTATTTAAAAATATTAGAGCAAGAGTTTATATTTAGCATCTCTTTCATTTGTAAATATTTTTTCTGGTGGAATAATATATAATAAGAGAGATAAAAGTAAACTAATGTGCATAATTATTAATTTAAATTAGGCTGCATATAATTTATTTAGAATTTCACGTTGTGGAAATATCAATGATTTAAATTTATAGACATTAATTTTTTGAAATTTGTCATTTATGATTTTACTCAAGAAATTTTCAGGATTTTCGAGCGGGGCTCATAATTACCCTTGCATTTCACTTATTATTTTGGGCTTTTCTGCATTTATATTTTGTTTTGAAAAATGACTTAAAGGAACCCCATACCACGAAGAAAACTTTTCATTGCAAGTTCTCTTTCATCTCCATAACTAATTTAAAGTGAAGTAAAATTGAGTTCAGACAAACCTAGAGTCGTGAAGTTTCAATCGCTGAATTTTTTTTCTTCTAAATTTCAAAATGCAAGCAAAATTATTGGAAGAGAACGTCTCCATTGCGTAATCATAAGTTGTCTTCTCATAGTTTATTTTCATTTTGATACTTTAATAATTTATTACCAGTATTTGAAACTTTATGGCTTACTCTAGGTTTGTCTGAACTCACCTTCTCTTTAATTTAAATTAGTTTTTAAGGTGAAAGAGAATTTGCTATGAAAAGTTTCCCATGTGGTATGGTGTCCTCATAAGCGTAATTATGTATTTAATAGTATGTTAATTATCTTCATCTTTAAAAATAATTCTAGATCTTCTCAACACTTAGAAATATTTGGACCAAAGCTTAACGTTTCCTTTTACGTTTAATCACGAAGCATGTGAAGTATGCACACATAACATTTAAGTTGTATTTACATATGCAATTACTGTTAAGGAGATATTTAGACAAAAATTTTCTTTACAATGGCAATTTAATGAACATAATATAGCTTTAATTATGGTAAATTAAAATAATATCTTTGAAGAAATTATCCAGAAAAAAAAGCAAAAACAGTTAGGTTCATTTTCTGCTAACCTTATATTTCTACTTATCAAATTCTTTCCTGGTAGCCTTTTAAGTTTGAGCCTATGTCAGTGATCAATTTTATTGTTTTTTCAGATGCAGAATGTACTTTAAACAGCATTGTTTCCCTCCTTATAATGGTTCCACAAACTGAGAGTGAACCACTTGTTCACACATTTTGCGAAAAGCTTACTAAAGCACCTTCCTCAAAAATGGCTGCAGTATGTCTGAAAGTGTAAGTTTTATTTTAATGCTGAGCTCTGAATATGTATGGATATGCAGGGATCTGTCCAGGCTGAATTTACTACCATTAGCGGTACCTTCACAAATTCAATTTTAGGAAAAACGGTAGTTTCACAAATTCAACTTTAGGAAATTCACAAAATACTTTTTCTTAAAATTTTATGTTTCTATTCTTAAGAAACGATAAATCTATATTTTTACTATGTTTTTGTATTGCTTTTTTGATAAAATTTTTAATTTTCACAAATTATGTCTAAATTTTCACAAAATAGGTACTTCTCAGAAAAACCTAGACAGATCTCTGATATGTATATGAATCTGAATGTTTATGTAGTGCTGCTAAGTATAGGGCTCAAAGGATTTCCCATGGCAAAACCATTGGTCATACAGTAAAATTTGTTGTCAAACGCGAAAGTTTACTTTCGCGTTTGACAACAGTGACATCTTTATGCATTATTTTGAAAGTAAGCTATTCAAAATCTTAACTTTCCCCTTTTATGAAAGATATGTCGATGACAGTTTTGCTTTGTTAGATGAAAATAATTGTAATTTAAACCAAATTCTTAATGTAATGAACAGCATTGATTCTTGCATTCAGTTCACCTTTGAATTAGAGACTGATCAAAAACTTCCTTTCTTAGATGTTCTTGTGACTCGGAATGATAATTCATTCCATACCACTGTCTTTCGTAAACTTTTTGCTGTTTCCCTTCCCCCTCATTACAAATCCTCCCAACCAAAAACTTGCCTCTTTTTGGTCTTTTGTCTACCGTGCTGTTAATATTTGTTCTAACATTGATTTTCTTGATGCAGGATTTAATTACATCAAAGCCATTGCTCATGACTGAGGTTATTCTCCTTACATTATTGATAATATTTATAAAAACTTAACTAAACAATCGCCTACCTATAAACCTTCCAAAGAATTTTCTAACAATTTAGTCATTTTACTCTATTTTCCTAAAATAAGTCGGCAAGTTGCTAATATCCTAAAGAAGTTTGATTTTAATATTATTTTCAGTCCCATTAATAAGATAAAATTTTCTTATCTCAAACAGCCCATTGACAGTCAAAATAGCTGGGGTATATACCAAATTAATTGCCAATGCGGCCTTTCATATATTGGCCAAACTAAGTGTACCTTAAAGTGCCGTGTCAAGGAACATGAAGCTTATGTCAAAAAACAAGAATTTAAACGCTCATCTATTGCCCAACATTGTTAGGACTCTAATCATAATTTTAATTTTTCTTCTTCTAAAGTCATTCAAAATTGTTCTTAAATTTTTGATTTAGATTTTTATGAGTCTTATCATATTTTCAAAAATTCCAAACTGTTGGTCAATGGCCTATCCAGCATTCCTTATCTTTCTTCTGTTTGGAAATCTATGATTAAACCTAACTAACCACCTTTTTGTTACTTGCTTCCTATTCGTCATCATCCATTCACCCTTCCTTCCTATTGGCCGTTGCTCTAAACCCTCTTGTGACGTCACCTTTCTCTATATTTACCCTGTTTTCTCTCATTTCTTTCTTTAATAATAAATATCAATTCATGTATCAAGTTAATTTTTCTTTAATTATTTGAGTCTTGTTCTAAAGGACAATTATTTTGCTTTTTAAGCAAAACCTAATGATAGTGTTCAATAAAATTTTGAAAATCCCACCTTGGAAAGAAGTGAGTTTCTTTAAGTGGGTCCACTCTAACAAACCCAATCCGGGTTCACAAAATTTGCCTGGGCAAAATTTTTATTAGTACTTGCATTAAAATTAAGTTGTTTTCTTATTAATTTTTTCAATAAAAAGTTAAATAATTGGCATTGTCACTGGGGATATAAATATACTTGAGGATAAACAATTATCAACAATTATTGTGTTTTTTTTAAGCTCCTTAATTTTTTCCGAAAAAAATAAAGTCCTCAAGAGTCCTTAATTTTGACTTTGTTCAAAGAGTGGGAACCCTGTAAAACCATCACAAAATGTCATAGACATGTTACAATTGAATGCTGCTGTGTGAAATAATGATGGATTAAGTTGATAATCTTCCCACAGGTTGCAAAATTTATTTGCTGGTATAGGAGAAAATTCTCTCCTGTGTTATGATGTCTATTGCAGCTTGGTTCAAGTAGCTGGACAAACTGATAGCATTCACATGGTGTTTAAAGATTTAAGTAAAGTATGCATTTCTTTTCTACATGTTCACTGATTAGCTTATTTTTTGCTCTTTTTTCATATATATTAATAAAAATATCATAGCTGTCCCTTTCTTTATTTGATAAGGATAATAAAAAACCGAGAAATAGTTTTATTTTCATTTATAAGAGACGAATGTAAAATGCGCTCATAGATAGGATGGGAAATCTAAACTCTGAGAGGGGTGGTAGGAAGAGCACCTTTTGGAGCAAAGCATATGGTTACATTTAAATAATATCACAAACTTAAATTAATTTTAATTTGTAGTTAATAATGTAATATAGTTATTATTTTTTGTTTACATTTATTGATGGCAAATCCCTGTAATCGTTACATAACACTTTCCATTTAAAATTTTACTCTGCTGAATTTTGTGGTCTTAATGTTAATGTCCGCCTCTTAATGTTAATCTGCCGTATTTCAAGAACTTTTCAGATTTCTGACCCATGAAATATAGGGAGCAGCCACAATAGTTTGGTCAGCAGAGCGATCCAAAATTTGAACCTCTTAATGTTAATCTATTTCGAGAACTTTTCAGATTTTTGACCCATGAAATATAGAGAGCAGCCTCAATAGTTTGGTCAGCAGAACGATCCAAAATTTGAACCTCTTAATGTTAATTTTCCTTTTCCACCTCTTAATGTTAATCTGTTTCGAGAACTTTTCAGATTTCTGACCCATGAAATATAGAGAGCAGCCTCAATAGTTTGGTCAGCAGAACGATCCAAAATTTGAACCTCTTAATGTTAATTTTCCTTTTCCGCCTCTTAATGTTAATCCATCTTATTTTGATAACTTTTCATGATAATGAAAAATTTTTGCATACAATTGTACAATTTGTGAGTCGTAAGATAATCGCATGCACAAAAAAAAAGGCATTTATTTTTAATATTCTATTTAATAACAGTCAAAGAAATTTTGTGCTAAATCAATTGACTAGAGAAGTTGAATTTTAGAAAAGTCGTATGTTCAAAATCTTTAGATTGCTATCCTGACCATACTATGGGTTCCATATTTCCCAGATTGCGGTTAATATCTATATTTTAGTGGTCAGAATCTATTGATAAAAAAGGTATGTTTATTCAGGGAAAGAGCGTTTTTATATCTGATTTCGTTTCTTAAAATATCGCATGCACTAATTGATTAGCATATTTGAGGTCAGTCATTTGAACCATTCAGAACCGTGGAGATCTAATCATTAGATCGAAAGCATGGGTGCAAGTCTTCCGTCCCCAGGACAGATTTCCATCTTTCGAAAATGTCCGCGGACGGAAGTAAGGCGGTAACAAGACTGACTCGAAATCGGAATTTTTTTTCTTCTGTCCTTAAAAATATTTTTAGGTCTACGTTATTGGTCTACTTTCTTATGTCCTGTTGTTATTTTATCAAAAGAGAACTATATACTAGTA